GCTTTTCTTACCATCCACAAGGCACCTACAATGGGTTCACATCAAGTCAATTATAGAAATATGGCCACTAAATTGCAGAAAATAATGTGCTGACTAATGGCTATTTCAATTAATAACAAATGTACACACCCTTTATTGGTAATAAGTGGGTATGTAAGAGTATCTGGGTACATTTCGAGTGTTGTGGAGGCTACACATTCCTCCAGAAGCAGCAGCAGAGGCTGATGGGCTTGCTGGTTAACACCAGCCCAGATAGGAACAAAAGATCCCATTGGAAAGACATTGGATTCTGCAGGGCCACTGAAATCATCTGGAGAGATTATGATATGCAAGTTATTATAACAAGACCAATAGAATCAATAGATCAAGCATTGCCTACTTACAATTGAGAATTGCCATGTGAAAGGCCAGTTCTCCATGACCTTGGATAACACCAGTAGAAGAGCTCTGGAAGGTAGGAGTCCAACCCTTCGGCCTGATAACAGAATTGAAATTATTGTACATCAATGGCAATGTTTTGGGATCGAGAGTCCTGGTGAAGACCTGTAGTACCTAGTTGTAGTTACCTGTCATACACACATCTAACTGGATAGCTGAAAGAAGGAGGGGAGGGCTTTGGCAACGGCCTGTAGGTTAGCTTGTTCTCATACACCAAGTATTTCCATGTTGCCTAATTGGAATGGAGAGAGAAAAATAGAAAAGAAAAATAAATTCATCATATTTTCAGGATTCAACGATTAGTGAAATCAAACTTACCATTCGTCTGAAATCACAAGCACTAAGTGGATAGTAAAAGTCTGCTTCTGCTCCATTTGACGCATTTGAGAATTGTGAAGGAAAGCAGCTACCCAAGAAAAGCCGAGTAGGATTTCCAGTCATTGTTTTGTCCACTTTCCACTTAACATGAACAGAATGCTCTTCACATGTAATTTGGATATCTATAGAAAAAGGGAGAGAGGGATTACTCATTGCATGCCTGAAAGTTGAAGAAAACTGAACAACTCTACAAAAAAATCAAACTTAAGTTGGTATCTGTGTCTAGAACCTGGTTTCAAAGCAGATAATTAGTAATAAACTAGGTTTCTACTGGTCTTTAAAACATGGTGGTCAGTCAACCAGCTAATGATCAACTACTGTGTTCCAAAACACAACTACCAGCTAAAGTTGGATTCTTCTAGATGTTGGTTAACTTATAATGCATCATATTTTTTCTTGTGCCATAATACAAATTACCGTCATTACTATCTTCAGACACATCGAATGCCGTGGCAATTGCACAAACTAAACAAAAAAAACCTAGCAGGTACTTCATGATCAGGTAGTCCAGAGCTAGTGAGACGCAAACCAAATGCTCTCTGTAAGCAGCTAAATTGTGCTACCTGGTCTAATCAGTAATTTATAACAGCTGGCACCTGACTGGGGAGGAAATGAAAAGTGAGCAGTATGTACTCGTGATGGGAGAAACGAAGCTTTTCGAAGCATTGAATCAATTGAACCAATTGCTTCGAAAAATGATTCGATGTTTCGAAGCACTTGAAACAGCACATGCTGGCGACACCTGCTGGTGAAAACGTTGAAAAAGCATCAAGAAATCAGACCAAACGTACAAAACAAATGGAAATGTTTTTTTTTAGAAATACCATTTTTTTTAAATGAATAATAAACACATAAATACTATTAAATATTAGTGCTTGTGTTATGTGTTTTATTTATATGTCTATGGGTTTGATACGCGCTCCGAAACACTGATTCGAAACAAAAGATTCACAAATGTTTCGAAGCTTCGTTCGGTGTGCAGGCGGATGCAGGAAGTGGCGTTGATTCCGGAAGCGATCCGGATATGGAGGATGAATTGTGTGGCGCGGAAATTGGAGGTAATGGATTTTTAAAAAATTTTTAATTTTCATTTGGCTTGGTGCTCTGTTCTTGAGGATCTTCTTACGATCTTGTATTGCCTTATTGTATGTGTTTTTTGCAATAAAAAATGGAGATGAATGGAATGTAGTGGTAAATAGGAAAAGAAAGAACATCTTTCTGAATCTGAAACAGACAGTGAGAATGGAAGTCATATGTCAAGGAAAAGAAAAGAAAAGAAAAGAAGAGTATAAGGTATTGATGAAGTTTGCTGCTGGATCTTTGAATGCAATTAACCCATTGAAACTGTCTGAAGCACTGAAGGAAAAGATGGGAATGATGGAAAGTGTTAAGACTTTAAGAGAAGGTAGACTTTTGTTGTTTTGTAATGATAACAGACAACGGGATCGAGAGTCCTGGTGAAGACCTGTAGTACCTAGTTGTAGTTACCTGTCATACACACATCTAACTGGATAGCTGAAAGAAGGAGGGGAGGGCTTTGGCAACGGCCTGTAGGTTAGCTTGTTCTCATACACCAAGTATTTCCATGTTGCCTAATTGGAATGGAGAGAGAAAAATAGAAAAGAAAAATAAATTCATCATATTTTCAGGATTCAACGATTAGTGAAATCAAACTTACCATTCGTCTGAAATCACAAGCACTAAGTGGATAGTAAAAGTCTGCTTCTGCTCCATTTGACGCATTTGAGAATTGTGAAGGAAAGCAGCTACCCAAGAAAAGCCGAGTAGGATTTCCAGTCATTGTTTTGTCCACTTTCCACTTAACATGAACAGAATGCTCTTCACATGTAATTTGGATATCTATAGAAAAAGGGAGAGAGGGATTACTCATTGCATGCCTGAAAGTTGAAGAAAACTGAACAACTCTACAAAAAAATCAAACTTAAGTTGGTATCTGTGTCTAGAACCTGGTTTCAAAGCAGATAATTAGTAATAAACTAGGTTTCTACTGGTCTTTAAAACATGGTGGTCAGTCAACCAGCTAATGATCAACTACTGTGTTCCAAAACACAACTACCAGCTAAAGTTGGATTCTTCTAGATGTTGGTTAACTTATAATGCATCATATTTTTTCTTGTGCCATAATACAAATTACCGTCATTACTATCTTCAGACACATCGAATGCCGTGGCAATTGCACAAACTAAACAAAAAAAACCTAGCAGGTACTTCATGATCAGGTAGTCCAGAGCTAGTGAGACGCAAACCAAATGCTCTCTGTAAGCAGCTAAATTGTGCTACCTGGTCTAATCAGTAATTTATAACAGCTGGCACCTGACTGGGGAGGAAATGAAAAGTGAGCAGTATGTACTCGTGATGGGAGAAACGAAGCTTTTCGAAGCATTGAATCAATTGAACCAATTGCTTCGAAAAATGATTCGATGTTTCGAAGCACTTGAAACAGCACATGCTGGCGACACCTGCTGGTGAAAACGTTGAAAAAGCATCAAGAAATCAGACCAAACGTACAAAACAAATGGAAATGTTTTTTTTTAGAAATACCATTTTTTTTAAATGAATAATAAACACATAAATACTATTAAATATTAGTGCTTGTGTTATGTGTTTTATTTATATGTCTATGGGTTTGATACGCGCTCCGAAACACTGATTCGAAACAAAAGATTCACAAATGTTTCGAAGCTTCGTTCGGTGTGCAGGCGGATGCAGGAAGTGGCGTTGATTCCGGAAGCGATCCGGATATGGAGGATGAATTGTGTGGCGCGGAAATTGGAGGTAATGGATTTTTAAAAAATTTTTAATTTTCATTTGGCTTGGTGCTCTGTTCTTGAGGATCTTCTTACGATCTTGTATTGCCTTATTGTATGTGTTTTTTGCAATAAAAAATGGAGATGAATGGAATGTAGTGGTAAATAGGAAAAGAAAGAACATCTTTCTGAATCTGAAACAGACAGTGAGAATGGAAGTCATATGTCAAGGAAAAGAAAAGAAATTCTTACGATCTTGTATTGCCTTATTGTATGTGTTTTTTGCAATAAAAAATGGAGATGAATGGAATGTAGTGGTAAATAGGAAAAGAAAGAACATCTTTCTGAATCTGAAACAGACAGTGAGAATGGAAGTCATATGTCAAGGAAAAGAAAAGAAAAGAAAAGAAGAGTATAAGGTATTGATGAAGTTTGCTGCTGGATCTTTGAATGCAATTAACCCATTGAAACTGTCTGAAGCACTGAAGGAAAAGATGGGAATGATGGAAAGTGTTAAGACTTTAAGAGAAGGTAGACTTTTGTTGTTTTGTAATGATAACAGACAACAAAAAGTGGCTCTAGGAATAAAATCGATTCTAGGACAAAAAGTTATTTGTTCAATTCCATAAGACAAAAGACGGGTTAAAGGAGTAATATCAGGAGTATCTCCTGATGTTCAAGTTGAAACTATTAAGAAAAATGTAACTGGAGCGACAGGGTTCGACGTGAAACGATTGAAGTGTACTAGAAACAATGAAAAAAATCTACAGTCTCTCAGTCATGATTCACTTTGATGAAAATAAGCTACCTAGCAGAGTCGTTTTAGGATTTGTAAGTTATATGGTCAGGTCATATAGTCTTCCTCCTCTGAGATGTTATAAGTGCCAAAGGTACGGGCATGTGGCCGCAATTTGCAGGGGTAAACAGAGATACGCAAGATGTGGGGGTGAACATGAATATGGTCAATGTGGGCAAGAAATTAGTCCCAAATGCTGTAATTGCGGAGGAGAGGACAGTGCGGGATACGGAGGATGTAAGGCAGGGATTCTCAAAACTGGCCCACGAGATCCACTTTCCTGCAGAGTTTAGCTCTAACCCTAATCAAACACACCTGAGCATGCAAACCGATGTCTTCAGGATCATTAGAAAATCACAGGTAAGTAAGTTTGATCAGGGTTGGAGCTAAACTCCGCAGTGCATTGGCCCTCCAGGGCAAGATTTGAGGAACCCTGATGTAAGGTGAGGAAGCAGGCGGCGCAAGTTCAGACGGTCAGAGTCGAGGAAGGGATATCTATTCTGAAGCACTAAAGAAAGTTGGAAAGAAGAATGAAGGGAGTAGTAGGGTATCATTACCTGAACAAAAAGTGAAAAGCAAACAGAATGAAAAGAGAGATATCAAAGATCACAGACAAAGTGTCATTTGTGTCGTTTATGGCAGAGGATCGAGGAGGAGTGATACCTTGGTAAAAACTTAGAGAAGCTTTTCTTACCATCCACAAGGCACCTACAATGGGTTCACATCAAGTCAATTATAGAAATATGGCCACTAAATTGCAGAAAATAATGTGCTGACTAATGGCTATTTCAATTAATAACAAATGTACACACCCTTTATTGGTAATAAGTGGGTATGTAAGAGTATCTGGGTACATTTCGAGTGTTGTGGAGGCTACACATTCCTCCAGAAGCAGCAGCAGAGGCTGATGGGCTTGCTGGTTAACACCAGCCCAGATAGGAACAAAAGATCCCATTGGAAAGACATTGGATTCTGCAGGGCCACTGAAATCATCTGGAGAGATTATGATATGCAAGTTATTATAACAAGACCAATAGAATCAATAGATCAAGCATTGCCTACTTACAATTGAGAATTGCCATGTGAAAGGCCAGTTCTCCATGACCTTGGATAACACCAGTAGAAGAGCTCTGGAAGGTAGGAGTCCAACCCTTCGGCCTGATAACAGAATTGAAATTATTGTACATCAATGGCAATGTTTTGGGATCGAGAGTCCTGGTGAAGACCTGTAGTACCTAGTTGTAGTTACCTGTCATACACACATCTAACTGGATAGCTGAAAGAAGGAGGGGAGGGCTTTGGCAACGGCCTGTAGGTTAGCTTGTTCTCATACACCAAGTATTTCCATGTTGCCTAATTGGAATGGAGAGAGAAAAATAGAAAAGAAAAATAAATTCATCATATTTTCAGGATTCAACGATTAGTGAAATCAAACTTACCATTCGTCTGAAATCACAAGCACTAAGTGGATAGTAAAAGTCTGCTTCTGCTCCATTTGACGCATTTGAGAATTGTGAAGGAAAGCAGCTACCCAAGAAAAGCCGAGTAGGATTTCCAGTCATTGTTTTGTCCACTTTCCACTTAACATGAACAGAATGCTCTTCACATGTAATTTGGATATCTATAGAAAAAGGGAGAGAGGGATTACTCATTGCATGCCTGAAAGTTGAAGAAAACTGAACAACTCTACAAAAAAATCAAACTTAAGTTGGTATCTGTGTCTAGAACCTGGTTTCAAAGCAGATAATTAGTAATAAACTAGGTTTCTACTGGTCTTTAAAACATGGTGGTCAGTCAACCAGCTAATGATCAACTACTGTGTTCCAAAACACAACTACCAGCTAAAGTTGGATTCTTCTAGATGTTGGTTAACTTATAATGCATCATATTTTTTCTTGTGCCATAATACAAATTACCGTCATTACTATCTTCAGACACATCGAATGCCGTGGCAATTGCACAAACTAAACAAAAAAAACCTAGCAGGTACTTCATGATCAGGTAGTCCAGAGCTAGTGAGACGCAAACCAAATGCTCTCTGTAAGCAGCTAAATTGTGCTACCTGGTCTAATCAGTAATTTATAACAGCTGGCACCTGACTGGGGAGGAAATGAAAAGTGAGCAGTATGTACTCGTGATGGGAGAAACGAAGCTTTTCGAAGCATTGAATCAATTGAACCAATTGCTTCGAAAAATGATTCGATGTTTCGAAGCACTTGAAACAGCACATGCTGGCGACACCTGCTGGTGAAAACGTTGAAAAAGCATCAAGAAATCAGACCAAACGTACAAAACAAATGGAAATGTTTTTTTTTAGAAATACCATTTTTTTTAAATGAATAATAAACACATAAATACTATTAAATATTAGTGCTTGTGTTATGTGTTTTATTTATATGTCTATGGGTTTGATACGCGCTCCGAAACACTGATTCGAAACAAAAGATTCACAAATGTTTCGAAGCTTCGTTCGGTGTGCAGGCGGATGCAGGAAGTGGCGTTGATTCCGGAAGCGATCCGGATATGGAGGATGAATTGTGTGGCGCGGAAATTGGAGGTAATGGATTTTTAAAAATTTTTTAATTTTCATTTGGCTTGGTGCTCTGTTCTTGAGGATCTTCTTACGATCTTGTATTGCCTTATTGTATGTGTTTTTTGCAATAAAAAATGGAGATGAATGGAATGTAGTGGTAAATAGGAAAAGAAAGAACATCTTTCTGAATCTGAAACAGACAGTGAGAATGGAAGTCATATGTCAAGGAAAAGAAAAGAAAAGAAAAGAAGAGTATAAGGTATTGATGAAGTTTGCTGCTGGATCTTTGAATGCAATTAACCCATTGAAACTGTCTGAAGCACTGAAGGAAAAGATGGGAATGATGGAAAGTGTTAAGACTTTAAGAGAAGGTAGACTTTTGTTGTTTTGTAATGATAACAGACAACAAAAAGTGGCTCTAGGAATAAAATCGATTCTAGGACAAAAAGTTATTTGTTCAATTCCATAAGACAAAAGACGGGTTAAAGGAGTAATATCAGGAGTATCTCCTGATGTTCAAGTTGAAACTATTAAGAAAAATGTAACTGGAGCGACAGGGTTCGACGTGAAACGATTGAAGTGTACTAGAAACAATGAAAAAAATCGACAGTCTCTCAGTCATGATTCACTTTGATGAAAATAAGCTACCTAGCAGAGTCGTTTTAGGATTTGTAAGTTATATGGTCAGGTCATATAGTCTTCCTCCTCTGAGATGTTATAAGTGCCAAAGGTACGGGCATGTGGCCGCAATTTGCAGGGGTAAACAGAGATACGCAAGATGTGGGGGTGAACATGAATATGGTCAATGTGGGCAAGAAATTAGTCCCAAATGCTGTAATTGCGGAGGAGAGGACAGTGCGGGATACGGAGGATGTAAGGCAGGGATTCTCAAAACTGGCCCACGAGATCCACTTTCCTGCAGAGTTTAGCTCTAACCCTAATCAAACACACCTGAGCATGCAAACCGATGTCTTCAGGATCATTAGAAAATCACAGGTAAGTAAGTTTGATCAGGGTTGGAGCTAAACTCCGCAGTGCATTGGCCCTCCAGGGCAAGATTTGAGGAACCCTGATGTAAGGTGAGGAAGCAGGCGGCGCAAGTTCAGACGGTCAGAGTCGAGGAAGGGATATCTATTCTGAAGCACTAAAGAAAGTTGGAAAGAAGAATGAAGGGAGTAGTAGGGTATCATTACCTGAACAAAAAGTGAAAAGCAAACAGAATGAAAAGAGAGATATCAAAGATCACAGACAAAGTGTCATTTGTGTCGTTTATGGCAGAAGTTGTCAACTGTTCTGCTCAAACTGATAGCCGGACAGAAAGAATCAAGATAATAATCAAAGCAGCTGAAAAGTATTTGGAGATAAAGTGTAGGCTATCTCTGTAGACATGATAAATGAAAATCTAAAAGTATATGTAACAAGCTCGCAATCAGGATGTGGTGGATCTTAATGGTGTTTATAATTTTACAGTGGAATGCCAGAAGTCTTATGGCAAATGGTCTTTGCTATTGACTGTTCAAATGCGGAGTTTTGAGCAGCGCAGAGTAACGCGTCGCATGTGTGTGTGTGAGGGGAACTGGGTCACATCACAGGAGAGTGAACTGTCTGTCAGAAATCATAGCACGTCAGCTGTCTTAACCGTGGCTTGTGTACTGCAAACACATACCAGCTTCATCACTGTGTCTGTCACGTGACTCTGTTGCCCTTTCGGGCTTGAACTGATGGTAAAACTAACTACATTATTAACTGTCTTGATATTTACTTTGAAAGCTGAAGCTGCGTTTATGGTAAGGGGCGTTACATTTCCGACGCATGCTTGTGCACTGGGTCAGCTGGCCAATCAGAGCAGACTGCGCTGGTCAAAGGAGGGGGCGTTGTTGAAAACGACGTGTTTGAGAGAGGCGGGGCATAGAGGACCTACAATAATGTACAGTATTTGAAAAATAATGTGTTTTTTGAACATTAAAGCATGTCAACATATTCTGTTACACCAAATACACAAAATAATGATCTTTAAAATAGCATCATATGACCCCTTTAAGGAATATATATCCAAGAAAGAAAGCAGCCCAGATATAATATGTATAGAAGAAACTTGGCTTAAGCCACAGTTGAATTTTACATTGCAAGAATATACAATAATTCGGAAAGATAGGAAACAAGGGAATGGAGGTGGGGTAGCTACTTTCATTAAACAAGGAATTGGGTTTAGAAATATTGTAAGAGATGTGGAGCAAGAGGTAGTAGTGGTGGAAGTATGGGAAGGGATACAAAGTTATAAAGTAATTAATTTCTACAATCCGTGCGAGAAGTTGAGTTTAAATGTGTTGGAAAATATTGGTGGGAATAAAGGGATTTGGTGTGGCGATTTTAATGCCCTTAGCACGTTGTAGGGGAGTAACAAAAATGATTTGAAGGGGACGATTGTTGAGGATATGCTTGATTGGGGAAGGTTAGTATGCATTAACGATGGAAGTAATACAAGAATAGATGTTAATCGTTGGGCGTGATTCAGCATTAGATTTAACGTTAGTGTTTGATAATTTAGCTGGAAAGTGTGAATGGAATGTAATGAAGCAAAGTACTATAGGAAGTGATCATTTTCCTATTGTTATTAAAATTGGGGTGGACATAACAAAAGTGGAACTGGTGAGAAATCCAAGATGGAAGTTTAAGAGTGCTGAATGGGGGATTTTTAAAGAATTGTCCAAATAAAATGGCTGAAATTAACTATTCGGATATGGATGTAGATGAGTTAAGTAATAAAATAAGTGATGTACTTAGAAATACAGCAGAGGAGGTAATTGGCAAAAACAATCTAAAAACAGAAGAAAAGCGGTCCCATGGTGGAATAAAAAATTTAGTGAATTAGTTTGTAACAGAAATAAAGCCCTTAGGAAAGCAAGAAAATCACTAGTGTTCACTGATTTTATTAATTATAAAAGAGCTCAGGCAATGGTGAGGAGAGAAATTAGAAGAGCAAAGAAAAATTATTGGAGAGTGTTTTTGTAATAAAATTGGGGTAGAAATTGAAATTAATGAACTGTGGGGTATGGTCAGGAAAATGGGTGGAATTCAGAGGAATACTAGCATTCCGGTGTTAGTTGACAACAACAATATTGCAGTAACTGATAGTGATAAAGCTGAAATATTAGTGGAGACATTTGTTAAGGTTCATAGCAATGCGAATATATCAGAGGATATGAGGAAGTACAGGGAACAGTGTGTGATGGATAATGCTCAGATATTTGTAAAAAAGAATCCAGATGGAGGCACACTAGATTCAGATTTCACATTGTATGAGATAAAAAAAGAGCATTGGTGGGGATAAAACAGACTTCTCCTGGTAAAGATGATATTTGTTATGAGATGATTAAACATTTATCGGATGTGTCATTAAATATGATATTAGGACTCTTTAATATGGTTTGGGAAACAGGGAAGTTGCCTGATGCATGGAAGCACGGGGTTGTGGTGCTGATCACCAAACCAGGAAAAGATCAATCTCAGACAATCAATTATAGACCAATATCTCTGACTTCCAATATTTGCAAACTTATGGAACGAATGGTTATGAATAGATTGTCATATGTTATTGAGAGCAAGAACCTGTTTCTTGCATATCAGAGTGGATTTCGGAAAGAGAGGAATACCATGGATTCAGTTTTATGTTTGGAAAATGAAATTAGGAAGGCTCAAGTTAAGAAGGAATTAGTAGTAGGTGTGTTTTTCGATATTGAAAAGGCATATGATATGTTGTGGAAGGAGTTTTTTTTTTTAATTGAAATTGGATATTATGGGAATTAAAGGTAAAATGTATAACTGCATATTACATTTTTGTTTGGAAGAACAATACAAGTGAGAGTGGGTTCTGCATACTCTCGGGTTCTTCCAATAGAGAACGGAACTCCTTAAGGTAGTGTAAGTAGTCCTATTCTTTTTAACTTAATGATAAATGAAATTTTTTCTAATATTGACGTCTGTGTGAGCAGGTCATTGTATGCAGATGATGGAGCGTTATGGTTTAGGGGGCGAAATGTTTTGTATGTGGAAAAGAAAATGCAAAAAGCTGTAAAGGAGTTTGAGGATTGGGCAAGGAAATGGGGTTTCAGATTTTCTGAGGCAAAAACGCAGGTAATATGTTTTTCGAATAAGAAAATGAATCCTTCTCTGAATATAAAAATGTATGGGCAACAGCTAGAACAAGTTAATGTAGTCAGATTTCTAGGAATGTGGATGGACTCAAAATTGAAATTCAGAATACATATTCAGAAGCTGATAGAAAAATGTAAGAAAGGGATACACATATTAAGATGCTTATCTGGAGTTGAATGGGGGGCTAGGCGTCAATCAATGGAAAGAATATATAAAGCAGTAATAAGAGCCAACATTTATGGTTGTATGGTGTATACTTCTGCAAATAAAACTTGGATTAAAAAGATTAAGAAGATACAAACACAGGCAATGCAAATTTGTTGCGGAGCATTCAGGTCATCTCCTGTGGTATCATTACAGGTTGAAATGGGAGAACTGCC